CCATCTGCTAGTTTGTATGTTCTTGGCGTATACACAGATTCCACTGGCGTAGGAGGTCCGAATTTATTTTCCTCTTTCCGAGAACTGGTTAGTTTCACACGAACTAGGGTCCCTGGACGGGGTTTTTCTTAGTCTTCTGTACTTAAATTGGTAATCAGCTCGTTTTTCATATTCAGCAGAGTCCGTAGTTTCTTCGAATTTATAGACTGCACTTAGCCGGGTTCGGATTACTCTTCCCAACATCAGTTCTGATGGAGTTTTGGCCGTTGCTGTATGCGGTGTGGTTCTGTATGTAGCCAAAGCGGATACCAAGGCATCCTCCCAAGATTCTCCCGAGAGCTGAAAGACTTGTATAGACTCCGACTTAGTCGTTCAATCATTCCATTAACCGCCGAATTATAAGGCACTGCTCTGGCATGTTTGATGCCATTGCTCCGAAGGAATTCGGCAAACTCGATACTTCTAACCGGGGGTCCATTATCAATAAGGATTTATTATGGCAGCCCATACCTTGCAAACAAGTGCCGCAGCCACCTTATAATAACATCTGTAGTTACTTCTCCGCATAGGATAGCTTCTGGCCATTTGCTATAAAAGTAAGTGGCAACTGACACGTTTCGCTTCTGAGGATGTGCGTCGGCAAATCGACCCAAGATATCGATGGCAATTTTAGCCCGACTCAGTTGGCTGAACTGGAGATTCGAAGGGCTTCGCACTCTTGTCGGATTGTTGGCAAGCATTGCGCTCTCGAACTGCAACCCCGATATTGGAATTTAAATTCGGCCACCGGTAGCAGTCGCGTATTCTGGCCTTCATTCGTACAATACCGAGATGACCCTCAAGCGCGCAGTCGATCACCGCTGGAATAAAACTAGGAAGAATCAAGATTTGTTCGCCTCTCATAATGCAATTGGGCACTACAGAAAGCTCGTAGCGACGAGTATAGTATGGCAGCAACTCCGGTTGGATTCGGATGTGATTGTACCATGCACTAAGCAGATACTCTCTTCACAAGGCTGGGATCTCCGTCAGTATGTTCACATATCCGGTCGAGCATTATGGCAGAGGGTGGGAGATGGGAAATCATTTTCACCTCATCTAAGTCGTCGTTCTCCCCTTCGTTTAATAGTGGAAGCCTGGAAAGTGCATCGGCCACTGGTTAGCACCACCCGGTAAGTATCTGATTTCGTAGTCGTAATTTAGTAGGCGCGAGTACCAGCGGCTTAGGCGCACCGGCTTTTGACCCTTATTGCCACGGTTCAGTAGGGTTGTAAGGGCAGAGTGATCAATATGCAAAACGAATGGACGTCCGAATAAGTAAAAGTGCCACTACTCACAGGCCTAAATACAAGCCAAAGCCTTTTTACCGGTAAAATAATTCCTTTCTGTGTTACTGGGACAAAGCGGCCCCTAAACCAACGTCGGAAGCATTTGTGGAAACAAATGTTGGACGCTGCTAGTTGAAAATAGCTACCATTCGTATGGCCAGATGAGATTTCTTTTGTTCAGTCCCCCAGTGAAATTCTTCATTTTGGCGTGTCAATTTCCTCTACGGCTCAGCGATTGTCGCAAAATTGGGCACATGTCGGTAATAGTAAGAACACAGACCCAAGAAATGTTTCACCTGTTTTTGCACGGTTTGCGGCAGTCAAGGATATCTCTGGTATTCTGAGTATTTGGTCTAATACCACGAGTAGAAATCACATGTCCAATGAATTCCACTTCAGACACGAAGAACTGACGCTCGTATTTAAGCGAAGATTGAGCTCATTCAGCCTAAGCAGTATCTTGTGTAGGTTTGTCCTCATGTTCATTAGGGCTGCTGCCAAACACAATTATCATCCATGGAAACAATACATCCTTTGAGGTCGGATAAGGATAAGGTGACGATTTTTTGCCAAGCGGCTGGTGCACTGCTAAGGCCCATCGGTAACACTTTGTACTGATACAACCTGTCTTGTGTGAGAAATGCTGTCAAATGCCGACAATCTGGAGTAAGTGACATGTGGTGATATGCACTACGAATGTCTAGTTTTGAGAATAGTCTAGCATTGGACAGCCTCACCATCAGTTCATCGGTAGAAGGAAGTGGGAATTTATCCACAATTGTGTGTGCTTGTTCAGCATTCGCAAATCAGTACACAAGCGTACAGATCCATCTTCCTTCTGCGCTACAACAAGAAGATGAACCCACTCAGAGCATTGTATCGGTTCTATCAAGTCGCCGTTGACCATTTGTTTGGAAACTTTCACCAAAGTCTCACATTTTGCTAAAGGTACGGATCTAGGTTGCGAGATAGTGAATGCGGTGCATCGCCTTTGAAACTTAGCCAATATTCAAGCGGAAAAGATTTTGGTACCTAGAATGTACTGAACTGTGACTAACATCGGCAATTGTCATTCGGTGGACGTTGGGCGACACATTTAACAAAACCATAGCGTTCCGTTCAAGCAGGGGGCTTACTGTCGATCTTAGAAACGTAGGTTTTAACTGCACACTTTCTACTGTCTTTCAGAAGTGGTGGAGCTGTAACAAATCCGAAAATTTGTACAGGACCGTTTGAGTAGCTAAAACGTGTACACTGATTGATACACAGATAGATGATAGAAAAACTGTTTGTAAAAGCTGTATGGAACTATTGTAATAGGTGACGCGGAATCTAGTTTCATATCTAAACGAATGCTTTTGCCATATACACCTCAAAATCATCGTGCAAATATCTGGGGAATGCAATTTAGGCTCCTTAGTAGAACAAGAAATCGAACAGTTACCCTCACAAATGTCAAATATCGTCTGCTCAAGGTTGGCCGGGGAGGCCGAAAAGTTACTGATAATGTGATCAACACGTGATATAGTGCTGGGAAAGACAAACTCTGGCAAAATGTCCGGACGTACCGCAGTTCCGACAAACTACGTTTCTGGCTGGACATACTTGACTATTTGCGCGAAGCTCATCCTTCCCACAGCAGTAACACTTGCTCCCAGTTGGTGATATCGCAGCGGATGGTGAAGAGTTTAAGCGGTCGATCTCGGTAGACGAAATGGTGGAAAGAAAAATTTTACTTTGTTCACTAGCTTCGCACGAGCTGTCGCAGGCCCGACCCCAAAAGGACTTGTCAGCATCTTCCATTAACAATCTCTCTGATCCTAGAATCGGACAGGTCGGAGATCAGTTTCTGTATAAGCATCGTTTCTCACAGCTTCCTCATGGGGACACTGTCATAGTCACATTTTCGCACAAAACAGACGAGACGGGATATGAAGTTGTCCAAATGCTCGCCGGGTGTTTGCCTCATCTGGGTGAATTTGTAACGGGAATTGCATGTATTCATACGCACTCCCCAATGCTTATCGAGAGCCACGAATGCGTCATTCAGGATGGGCTAATCGCGAAGATTCAGGGTTTCAAATATACACCGGCCTTCAGAATCGAGATACATCCGAAGGAGCTTCAAAGTATCCCCTGGCTTTAAAAGCACTGATGTGTTCAGAATCGGCAGAACGGAAATGAAATACAAGAAAGTAAATTTCCAATCATCCCAACATACTACGGTTGGGGTGATAGCAGAATCCGTCCAGAATTGACTAAGGGCTGTGTTGTGTAAAGACATTGGTAGCCTGCGACGCCAATTGTGTCCGTGAAAGCAGAACAGGAACTCAATAGATTAAACGGATGTATGGACACAATCTCCACGTAACGACGGTTATGACTTAAATCATCCACACAAGGCAATCGGCAGCAAGCACGCATTCGACCAATGAACGCTAAGTTGGCATGTGATTCACGGCCAATCACTAGCGATGCACAAGAGTAGGAAGTAACATGACAACACCACACCTATCATATTAATACACAAAAAACATCACGCCCTTTTCTTTCAAAGACGTTCTACCTTAAATGGTTTTGCTAAATAGGTCGAGTTATCCATGACCTTATACACCTTGTTAGATTATACATTCAGTGTGAAGACTAAGAATGAGTAGAATGGCAAGAATTCCACTGCGCCTAGGTTCCCTTGCAGTCATCGACTTCATGAGATGTACGGCCCCATTAGCTGGGAGAAAAATACACCCCATTAGCTCAAATAATGGAAACGCCGATGCGAAAACTTGTGCGGTCATTGGTCAACGTAATTGGACCTACGGTTGTGGTACTTTCACAATTTGGAATGATAGCATAGAAAAGTGAGGACCCTGCTCTCTTAAACGAGGCTCTGTATACCATAAGAAGTCAATTGGGCAGTGCAGGTCTTTTGACAACAGTAAATGGACGTTATTCAGACATCGTGCACAGTATCTTATTCTTAGATATCTCTGTTGTAAAGATGATAGCATGCATTTCGTCAGCGCACGCTGGGGACATCACAACACCCGTCTCGTTAATGACGCAGTCCACTACTTAGGGGCCCGGCAAGGATATTTTAAATACAGGTGGTACAGAGCTCGCAAAGCTCTGCAGATTTCGCTCGAGCTCCGTCAGAAATACTGGCGGCGACTAAAAATGCACAGCTAAACTCTCCTCACTGAATCTACTGTTATGCTTAAACGCAAATTGCGCAGACTCTACCCAAGCTCTCCCTAGTAACGCTGTTATATCGGCCGTCTACAGCAGCACTGAAACAACTGAGCCCTTCTCAGAACTCTGCTGTATCCACCGCCCCATGGCACATCGACTACAATTGAGTTTTTCAAGGCACTACAACTAGGTGGCAACTCATGTGCATTGCCATTGCATCGAACTTCCTCTGTAGTTTGTGTACCACGCTGCTATACTAGAAGTCCGCAAATACGAAGGCACAGAAAGCATGTGTTTGCTCTTGGCTGAGTCAATACACAAACACTTGCTATCGGCCAGTTTTTTTTCTTTTTTAATTACGGTGCAGTCGCGCGATATTATGCGTTCCGTCTCCAGTCTAAGCTCGCGTGTACAAAGGGGTTTTGGGCTAGGCTCCCTAGACTGTAACGACTTGAATCCAATTAGCTACTCCGTGTGTGTGAGGGCTACGTCGGTTCTCATTATGAGTCGAAACAATCAGCAGGTATTATGACAATAGGTTCTAAGGAAATCGAGCTCATCCCGGAAATGTAGCCGTGTGAAAGAGTCATCTGTATGCAGAATAGGATTAAATACATCCAGATATCAAGGAAGCGGCGTTAGCACCACTACTCCTGTCACCCTTCTGTACAGTCACTGATAACCCCAGATGGAACTATCAAAAGATCAGCTAGAAGGTGGTCCATAGATTCACCGCACGTGGGACATGTTTCGCACACGTAATTCTTGGTATCGGAGTGAGAATCAGGACCGAAGGCTTCAGCAAATTTCCGCCGAATGAGAGAGACGATAGAATCCAGGGCACCGACCGGGTGAGCGCAGTTCATCTAAAAGGCAGATAGAGGAGATAAAGTATATATATCTACCCATATAGATGGAAAGCTATTAAAACTCGATTTATGGGGCCAAATGCTGCAAATGCAAAACCCGAACCAACTATTCCCCACGTGGATTTTCGTCTTCTAAAGGCGACAGACTTCGAAACAATCATATTCAATGCAACGTGGATCCGAATATCATATAAGTACCGGAGTGATTAGTTTGGCTATGATCAAGTCAGGAGAGAGAAAAATAGATATACAAAAGAACTGGCTCATATGATAATCTTTCATAAGTTGCGTTTTCACTGTGCGACCGGAAGAGCTCATCTTCCGTATGATTGGTTGCCTACTATCACTCGAACGTCTAGACGTGAAGCAGCTTATCATTTTGACAGACATCCAGGACACTGACGGTATATTTATCCACAGTGTGATGCACAGTTCAACGGAGTGTTTTGATCAGGTTGTGCAGCGAAATCGCATAAAACGCAAAAGATCAAGTTTTTTGTAAAGCGATTATCAAAAGAATTTAGGAAGTGACGAGACTGCAACTTAACGTGGTGCGGCAGTTTGCGCACCTCTTTGACCCATTGTGCTATGCGGGGTGGGGCCTCGGGCCCCTTGAGAGCTACTCCTACCAGGTTGATAATTGGTTAGAGGTCAGAGGAACTCAGTCTCCTGGTTCTCTAGGTTGGCAGTGGGAAGTGGAACGGCGTCCATTTCTGTAAAACCGTATCATTGCCGCTGCCCTGCAGACAGGCTTTTGAGCAAAATGCTTTGGTTAAGGACCCTAATCGTTCGCCTGTTTAGGTCTAGGCGCCCTGACAGTATCTCGGCCCACATACAACCATGACTAGTTTCTCAAACTTCACCAAGATCTTACATCGAACGTCGCGTAGAGTATCAAAGGTCGCCTTATCTGCTTCAGCGTGGATAAGCGAAAAAATTCCACTCCTGGTGCCTCCTTTCTTCTCCACCTGTTTTTCTTAGTCCTTTCTCATACCACATTACTAGCTTTCTTCTCAAGTTCAAGTTTAATAGACAACAGCCGTAATGCCATTGCAGTTGTGCAACTATGTAAACGCACTACTGGATGTCTATCGGCAAAAGCCCTTACAATGCCACACTGTTCCGTTTTCTTAGCGGCGTTCAACATTCAGACTCTAAGACAAATAGGCCAACAGGCTGCATTCGCACGCACGCTGAGTATTAATGTGTGCTGCGTATCCGAAACTAGGAGCAAATACCCTCATGGGGTTGTTGAGTTAACTGCACCCAGGTGTCCTCTCGCTATTGGCTGCACGCATCCGGAGACGCTGATGCAGCGATCATTGGTCAAGCCGGGGTAGACATCGTTTTCAACCCAAAAGGCCGAGTTATCATTGATTGTTTGAATTCCCGTGAGCAGCCGTTTGACAACATCAACTAAAATTGACTCACGAAGTAGCAGCCTGGAGGAACAGATTGAGCTCGTCTGACCATAGCCATTGACCAACCTAGTAGGAGTAGCTGACTAGAGGGCCTGCGAGCCCCACCCAGTGGACGAGGTACGCAAACCGTTCACCCGGTTAAGATCCAGTCTTATTGCGACGGACACGAAGTAGTACAAGACGTTGTTTGCTTTGTAGTTTCTGTTTATGCCCCCACGGACTGAAGCTCTGCTGCTGCCAATGATGCCTTCTACCACGAACTGAAAGCGATCCTACGCAGGGTCACAAATTTAGATACCACAGGCCTTGCAGGGGGTATGAATGCACAAATAGATCGTCTAGACTCTTCTGAAGCTCGGTTAGGTGTAAGTATGGGCTTAGCTCTGAATAGACGGACAACGGTGAGCTTTTATACACAGTGGGCGCCAAAGTGTCACTTGGCGTCCTCCAGTAGCTGGCCAGCGAAGAACCGAAATAAGTAACATTGCCATATGCTACAGATCGCGTGGCTCCATGCTGGATTGTCGCTCGTTCTGGAGTACTTCCGTCGACTGTGATCATGCCTTGGTAGGCTGTTGTTTTTCTAAGCGTCTCTCAAAAACTATCTCAACCCTCGGTAACACAAGTTTCCCAAGACGCACTGAGTACCGACGATTCGCTCCCTTGTCCTAATGACATTAAGCCTTAGCGGAATAGGATCTCGGCCGCAATGCTCGACATAGGAGCATCTGCTTCTGACGCTATCAATCGTCACCGCAGCAAAAGGCGTTTATCACAAGCTCTTCCACCTGATCCGCACCATCGGTCCCAGAAATCCAGACGTCAGTGAAACAATCAGAGACAGCGCGGGTGTCACGATTCACAATATGGAGTGTCGTATGGCATTGCGCAGGGTGCTTTCGAGATCAGTTCATTTGCCCCCATGCTCCTTGACCCCTTCCAACTCAGATGATGCATGTTGAGTCATGGACAGATAGTTCAGTGTCTATCGGAGGCTGAGGTCCGTAACGCGGTCACAGCTCTCAATCGTTTTCGTGCCGCTGGCCCGGATTCCCTCACCTCCGCAATGATTAGTGATGGTGGTGAAATTCTCCACAAAGCACTGACCTCCTTGTTCGAACATGTATAGAAGGAAGAGACTATCCCGGCTAACTGGAGTGAATCGATTATAATGGGAATATACAAAAACAGCAGACGCACTGACTGTGTTAGCCATACGGTTATTAGCCTAATGCCGATGGTGACGAAAATTATTAGCCTCAATTCTCGTGCGTCGCCTCACTGTGGATTGGGAATTACGGATTAGGAAAGAGTGAGGCGGCTTCACCCCAGGATGGGGCTGTACAGACAAATATATTCGACTTTCGGCAGGTGCTAGAGCATCGCCACTGATATCGCAAAGCGACAATAACTGTGTTCCTCGACTTCAAGAGTGCGTTCGACTCAGTCAATCGACCCATTCCCATTGAGTATGTGAACATATTACGTGCGTTGCGTTCGAACACCACAGGCCGCGTCAGGGTCTAGGTGACGTGTCAGATATCTTCCCGACAACACGTTACGTCCGTCAAGGTTACCAATTTCTGTCCAAATTCGTCGTGGACTCCATCATGGAGTGTTCCCTTGCAGAGTCTCACGATGCATGCGTTGAGATGCTGCCTAGTTTGAAGCTATTTGAGCTTGATTGTGTGAACGATTTTGTCTTCCGTTTTAAAGATGTTAAAGCTGCCCAAGTAACTTGGATTAACGCGTCTAGTACTCCCATTATTTTGTGTGCGCTTCGGACACTAAAAATACAGTCTGGTTATGGGAGTACCAGCCACTTGATGACCCCTTGACCCTTGATAACGAGAAACTCGAAGTACTTGCTCAATTCACTTACCTTGGCAGCTGCATCAGCAATGATGGGCACATAGTAACTGAAGCCAGTTCACATATTACAAAAGCCAGAACTGCCTTCTTGTACCTGCGGCACCTATGATGACAGAAGGGAGTTTCCCTCCGTCTGAAAGACTGTGTTTACAAGGCCACAGTGAGGGCCGTCCTATTCTATGGTAGTGAAACTTGGCCCATTCGGTCTGAGGCGCTTCCAAGTGTTGATCATTCTTGTACGCAGCGTGTCCTCTATGATGACGTGCGTAGACAAGTGCTAGGAATTGATAACCAAGCTAGTTCCCTAGAACAATAGATAATACTGAATAAATTGCGTTGCCAAAGCCACGTGCTACGTACTCCCGGTCACCGTTTACCGAGACCGGCCTTGTTTTGTTTGCCAGATGTGCGGTGACGCAAGGCTCGAGGTGGATAAAAGTTGACTTGACAGCGAGAGATAAAGTCACTGACAACCACACTGGGTGCTGTCGACCCGTCTCACCTTGCAGGCTGGAATCCACGTGACTCGCCTTGTGCTTGGCTCGAGACGGGACAAGACATGACTCGCAGTCGACACCAGTGGCGCATCTGCTTCCGTCTCCTGATCGGACTGCCTGTTTAAAGTGTGCTTGTTGCTGGGTTATCTGGGTGTAATGGCGGGGCAGTGAGAGCCGTAAGTTAGCTGTCTCGCTAACGTCATCTTGTCTTCGCAAGATAGCCAACTGTTTGTGACAGCGTGTTGTTGACGCTGAATGGTTGTCTTAAGGCATTAAAATGTTGCGCTAGTTCCCACTTCTCTCTCCGTTTTTACTATTCGTTCGATAGGCCACCATGGTTGCACGGCAGCGAAGCATAAGTTCAAATGGCTGTACTTCTGTTGATGACGAGGATGATGATAGTTGTATGTATCAGAGAGACTGAGAAGTTGGCAACAATAGTAAATGAATGAAAATCGAGATGTTCAGGTGAAGTAATATGGTCATCTGTAGAACCGTCTTCAGGCTAGCTGATTCCATGCAAAGCATTCCCTGAAATTGTTTCGCCCCACTTTCACGTCACACCAAGTATTGTGGCTTAAAAACTGTCTTCGGAAGAGTTCGGAAGCCTGTAGGCAACTTCATGCATCTTCTGAGGTCCACCATCTTGACGTGATAGTGGTAGTCGGCAAAATAGTGCATTAGGAACAACAAGGAAAAATGCTCGGCAAGGGCCTTATATTTCAGGTAGTCCCGGTAGTAGATAGCAACGCCGCCACCGCGTGATGGGCAATCACTACGAATGACTGATAGTTCACATAGTACAATTGTCGGCACAAATAGTGTCGGTTTGTCGACGTTTTCTGATACAGGTGTTCGTATGGTTAGTCAACCTGAGGTATAAACAATCTAGTCTGGCTTATTGTTACACCAGGCGATCCGGCGCCTCAAAAATACAATGTCGTCCCACACACAGCCATAGCGGACATTCGTTATTCTAATCACTCACTGAGAAGCTGTTATCCCTAAATCTGACACCCACCATAGTGAAAATCGAGTTCACTTCAGTTGGAACGTTGCCAAACGGAATGCAAGATTTCTAATAGGACGCAGAGAACGGCCTCACATTCACAACCTGGTACAGGAGGTATGAAAACATCATTCTGGTTGATGCGGCCAAAGTACGGCTGTTGCTACGGAAGCTGGGCGCAAATGAACACAACCGGTA